AGTGATGGTAGAACCCAAACACCAAACTCACATGGGACAGTTCACTTGCAGCCACAGAGTTCTTGAGATGCGTCTTTCAGCCCCTTTTCACGTTCGTTCTGGAATGACAAACGACACGACTTGGACTACTCGATGAGTTGACGTGGGGACCCTCCCCACGCTGAGATACCCCACTTCTGCGGGCTGAAGGGATGCGCGAATTCATCCTCGGCATGGAATCGATCGGTGCATTTGGATGCATTTGGTGCAGGTCGATGGTCTTGTCATCAAGAAACCGATGGCCAGACCGAGCTACGCTAGCTACCGAGACCGAGCTGACCTCATGGTAACCGGTCTCCAAACGCTTTGGTGAAATACCCGTCGTGGACCTTTTTTTGCTTCGCCTTGGTGAACCTCTCACCCAGGTAGAGTGAGCGCAGCTGTGCCGCTGGGAGCAACTGGTGAGCAGCTGCTTGGGGAACACCCATGCCGGCCCATGGCCGTCGGTCATGGCCGTAGCTCAGAAGGGCTCCGGCTCCGGCTTCACATGGAAAAAGAATGCATTTTGGGACCGGCACAAAGTCTCTCATGTTGGGGCCATTGTGCATTGAAAGGAAAGAAATCACATGACCTAAACCAATTGGTTGGTGGTGTCCCTACTTAAATACACACCCATATCTTCAGGACAAGGGAGTCCCGCTCCCACAAGGCTTTCCAAGAATCCGGCACAGCAATCACAGCACCCGCAGCACACAACCAAACGGAACTCTGGCACTAGCGGATGCTCCTCGACAACCCTCTTGTTCGGTGCCTGCAGTACAATTTGTAAAACATATGCTTTTGTAGCTGTGCTAATTGACCGCTTCGCAAAGTGTACACTAAGCTTACTCACTTACTGAGTGATGGACCAACCACTCAACCAACCGAAACGAAACAAACCAAACGAACCAGCCAAATCATGCCAAACCAATCTAACCCTGGATACCTAACCCCTATACCTACCAACTGATCCGCTCCGTACCCTGCCGCGCTGCCACGTGGGGGCAGTGCTTCAGCTCCACCGTGCCGCCGCGGTCCTCCTCGCCGTGGTCCAAGAGCCTGGCGAAGCGGACCCGGGCGGAGGTGGGCCATGCGCAATGAGCTCGCGTTTCATCCTGGTTTGATCTGCACAAAAAGAACATAAAGAACATGAACAACAGCAACAACACTCTCCTAGCCGTTTTTAGAGTCGCTATATTCATGATATTCATGTGGGAGTCTCCCATTCCTACTGTTGATGGACAAAATCCTGCACCACCTCACCACTTTACCCTGGAAGGGTCGCATAGCAACCCCCGTGACCCCTCATTCAATGTTGGCGCGACCCCTCTGAGGAGGTGGTGCAGGATTTTGGACCTTCAACTTGTTTTTGTTTTCTCACTGTGGTGGCCCCAATGTTAACGAGGGAGAACGAGGGCAGCAAGAAAAGTGTGCGCAAAGTGGTGCAGGATTTTGTCCATCAACAGTAAGTCTTGCCAGCTTCAAGGTACCCCGAAAAGTGAAGTTTGAAGTGTCGACACGGCTCAACTGAAAGCATTCATGAAAACATGGAATCCTGCAGCCCAGCAACCAGTTGATGGCTGCCTCTTTATCATTTGGATTTCCTGGGCAATTCAGAACCGAAGGTCCTTCTGTCAGTTGGAACATTGATTTCTGATCTGATCAGGGCTGGACAGGTCATATATATATATGCATGGGTTTGTATATTAAAATAGGGAGACATCCCAAAGACCTTCTGGAGGAAGGGAAATAGGCCTAAAACCCAATGGTTGGGTGTCTCCTTATTGAAATACACACCCATATATAGAGCTTAGGTTATGGCCAACCCAACTGGCGATTGTTTAAAAATCTCTCCAGAAAGGGAATTCATATGATTTCATGATTCAACCACCACGACCTATTCTCCTTTTAGCGCACCTGTCGAAACAATTCGAACATTTCATCCATGGGAATGAGTGCCCAGTGTCCGCATTCAAGCCACCAGCTCATGACCACCTCTTCTCATTCTTAAACGAGTGACTTGACTCCCTCATCGGATGGAAATCCAAAGGACGGTGCATAGCACGAAGTATGCACCGTCGATCTACATGATACATATATAAATAATTTAACAAATTGTTCTTTATATTGGAGAGGTCACCAGTCGATGTACACGTGTGTTGTCTTATATTCTTTATGAATGGAGAAGGTACCATTCTTTATATTAAGACCTTCGATTCGATGAACGTCACATCCGTGGTTCTTCCCCAAAGATAGAGTGCTTTACGCGCACAGCTCAGCTTGCGTTCACGGGGTTCCTATTGGGCATGGGGGATTCTACCTTGGAATCGTTCACGGAGCTGAGATCCCGAAACGCGACTCCGAACGTGGCATGCAACGTCTTGTTGTAGACATCTCGCCCACAGGATTCTGAGAAAACACATACACAATCATACCAAACCATTCGGCTAATTGTTGTATCCCACAAATCAAACCACCAGTCATACCAATCATACCAAACCACCAGTCCATTTGTGTTTCTCCTACATCTTGTTGTAGACCTACAAACTTTGCAAAGATGGTACCAGGACCATCCGACCATCTGGGTGTCCTGGCGTTCGACTACCCTACAGTTACTACGTATAAATGAGTGCGACTATCGAAATACAAACAAGTATCACACCAGGTTCTAGGTTCTGCTGAATGTCAAACATCCCTTCGGTCGGTCAGAACTTCCCGTGACAGTGACCAACCCCAGAACTTCCGTGACTTGACTCACTTTACTCCACCGGATTGTCAATCCATCCGCCACTACCACTTCGGGCCACTCCACCTGAGTAATTTTCCTGTACGGAGCTGACGTCTTCCGAACCCCGCAGCTCACGTGATACCGCCCTTCTTCGATCGGGATGATGGGAGGAGTTGCCCACTGCCCCAGTCCAAAGCGGATGAGTTGCCTGTTTTTCTTATCATTTTTGGGCGGGTGGCCGGGACCCGGTTCGCGGTTTGCCGGGATGTTCAAGATAAACCAATTGGCGCCAGTGCTTCTTTCTTTCACGAATGGGTTTGGCTAGTTTGTGATCATCAGAACCTGTCAAACTTGAATCCTATTGGATATTTTGGGGTGTGATCATCGAATCATAGGGGTGGAACTCACACCGTCACTAAAGATCAGTGTGGAGGAATGCCAGGGTCACCCACAACGAACGCGCTGGTTAAATCTATTTATATAAACCATTGCTTATACACATAATCTTAAAAGGAAACAACAACAATGTATGGAGATATCGACCAGAAGATCTGAAATTTGGGCCTCGCAAATGGATGATGATTTATCAGTTATGAGGATTTTATGGGGTCCATCAATCATAATCAGTTTTGCAGTGGTTGGTGGCTTTGACTAAGAAGTCGCCTGTCTGATCTAAATCATTACGCCCAAGCGTCCGATGGCCGAGAGCGCTTCACGGACCTTGCTTTCTGCGAAGCCGAAGTTCACCTCAGCAACCCATGCCCGGCATCTGAACACGAAGAAGCTCCAAAGTGTGAAGGACGGAGGTTTCTGCAGGTCGTCAAGGCAGAAACCCCTCGGACCCAGTGGATTCTTGGATGGTTTCTGCAGGTCGACCAAGGCTTCGGTGGGTTTTCTCGACGTTTCCATGAAGTTTGGTTCCCGTGGTGTTTCTCCAAGCAATCGAGCTGGGCAAGTTTCGGAACAGGAGAGTGGCCGCACCTTCCGGTCTGGAACCAGGATGGGAGAGTGGAACGCACATCCTCCATGCTAGAGAATTTACACTCTGTGGAACTAACATGGCAGTGGAAAGCCCCCTGCTTGTAGAGGAAAATGGTCTTCCAAGCGGCCATTGTCCACTTCCATGTGAGTTCCAGGATTGTAAATGTCTTTCCAAACACCCCTGGGAGTTCAACAAACATCTTCCAAACGGATTGACTCTGCTACTTGAACATCACCGTCAGGTTTCTGCTTCCTAAAGCGCTCGTTGCGAGTCGCCGTAACCGTGCAAAGAGTAGAGGAAACGACGCAGGTCCCTCGCTGACTTGGTGGTCACTTCTAAATGACTTCGTGGTCACTCCCTCGCTGTATGAAGGATCAAGCATCAAGCGATCTATCCGGGAACCAGTTCCTGTGGAGAAGGTGACCACTTCCTCACCCCACCAGTTCGCGGACTGCAACTCCAAGGAACCAGTTCCTGTAAAGTCCGCGAAGCCATGGTGTTCTCTCTCTCTCTCTCGGCGGAGGGCTGTTGGGCTGGTCCAGGTCGCCCGAAGACGGTGAACCGGATGGTGAACCGGATGGTGATGGAACGTGACGGTAGTCCGGTCGTTTTCTTTCACCACGCGGTGAAAGCGTCGTGGCCGGGTCCCGAGCCCCTAGCACATCCTAGCACAGACTGAAAGAGTGAAACCTGGAATGCATCTGAACAACCTAAAGTACCACCAACTGCCCACTCCAGGCGCTTTTTGAGGTCTTCAGTTGCTCTTTGGTCCAACATCCAAGAACATCAAGGACATCAAGAACCCAACATGTTTCCATCAAACTGTCTCCTCTTCGCAACCAGCCACGGCACTCCCCCGGCTTTCACGAGAGCGCGAATTGAAACGACGGATAGCGCCGTCGACCAAACTTCAATCGATCAAACCAAACCTATCGAAAAGAACTTCGTCTGACTTTGTATGACGTACGTTTGAGGTAAGACTTCTCGATAGAACTCGATAGAAGGTGGAGACTTTGGGATTGGATCAGTGCTGCACGTCTACTCGACAGGGATGTTATTTGGGAACTTCATTAAACCATGTGCCAAAACTGCAACGACCACTCATCAACTTCTTGCTCTTCCGCCACCCTCAACGAGACGATCTGCCCTCCTGCCCGTCTTTTCTGCGCACAACCATAGACTGCTTGACGAGAGTGTGGCTTGTGGCACTCAGGCAAATCATTGTAACACCTCAACTTGATAACTTGATGAATAGAACATTGTGGGATCATAGGTGTATCACATTGGTCTAAAGCCAAAAAGCAAGGTTTCATGCGTTTCATGCCACACTGTCTAAGCGATGAAGTACTGCTTGAACGGCCCAGGGAAGCGCCCGCCGTTCTGCAGAATGTCCTCACCCATGAAAGCCCGGGAGGAGAGGGAGCGGCAAAGCATTTGGTCGAGATAGTGCCGGTGGCTGAGTGGGTCGTTGTTCAAGCAGTTCCGCATCAACGTCTCTCGAGTTGTTCTGAAACCGCTCTTGGATGTTTTGTGAGCAACATTGAACATGCACGAAGATGCATGAACAGGAAGGAAATCTCACACACTTTCCGGACAAGCAACCTCGGTTTCACACTTCTACAGGGGGCATTTCCCACTTACTCTTTTGTTGTATCGGTGCCCTCATTCTATCCCTCCAGCTTGGGATTCATTGAATCTGCCACAACCCTCCATGCCTCAATGCTCATCCGCATGCACCCTCCCAAATCCTCGTCTGACACCCCACCGCACTCAAAGCCGTGGAAAGCCGGGACGACGTCCCTCTCCCACATGCAGATTGGCCTGGGTCTTCTCCAGGGACTTGAAGCGATTGTAAAAAGTACTGAGACCTTGAAAGTGCTCCAGCACCGTCGGCTTGATCATCACCTTGATTTGTTTTGGCAAGAGCCGAGGATGTTTTGGCATATGCTACAGTCCACGCCGAAATAGCAAGGCAAACGCTCATTTTGGATGTCGAAGATGGTGTGGAACATTGGTGGAAGATCCTCGCAACTGGTGGGTCTACGCTCTTTTTGGGAGGAAGATTAGGAAGATCTTGCAAGACTTTAAGATAACAATATCATACAATACCTGTATAACAATGACATGCTTGGCTCTACACGTCTTACTTTGTTGATTTTTCAACGCTGTTCATGGCAGAACACGTTTTTCAATCGGCCAGGGAGTCCGGTCGACTGGTCGCATGTCCCGAATCGCTTCGCGACCGCCGCATGTCGCTTGCCACGATGGATTTCGACTGAGCTAGAAGATGGGGTGTTTGAGAACCTGTTTGAGAACCATGTTTCCAGAACCATGGTTTTTCTCCTGTTTGAGAACCGCTATCGAACCCTTTCTGGAGAAAAACAACATGTCTTACTTCGCGAAACCTGACAGACATGCTGAACCAAACATGGCCAGGGCCCAAACCTCTGGCTCTGGCGTATATCAGTCTGTTGAGACCCCATGGTGATGGTCCTTTGTTAGTAGCGAACATTGCTCCTAGATGCTCCTAGTCGCTTCTTGTTTCTAGTAGCGATGCAAGCAGCTCCGATCGTAGCGAACATGGCTCCGTTCGTAGTAAGGCCAGGAGTCCCGACCGTAGCGTCCGATCGCTCCGTTCGTAGCGATGCCCTTTGCTCCGTTCGTAGCGTCCGATCGCTCCTATACTTGAATGGAGCAACCAGGCAGTGGAGGACGGTGAACAACTTGCACTCACCGATGCTGATGCCCTTCTTCGTGAACTTCCCCGCGTTCCCCAAGCGCTGCGCCGCCTGCTGCGGTCCGTGTTTCCGTTCCGAAAAAAAGGTTCCGTGTGCGTTCAGCAAGGAGAGCAGGCAGGCAGTCAGGAGGCTGCATGCAGTGGATGGAACAGGAACCCCTCTTTGTCATAGTCCTATTGGGGCAGTGCCATCTTTCATGAAGAAAGGGTCAGTAGGGCCATGGTCGATATCCTGATTGAGAGGTTCGGGTAAACAATTTCCGTCAATCCCAAACCCTCAAATACCCCCCTGTCAGCTCTTGGTTTCAGTCATGGTTCTTGTCTTCAAAAGCTCGCTCCAGTCCCCAAAGAGCCTCCCCCTCAACGAGGGACTGGTAGGGACTATGCAGGGGAACAGTCATGCTTTTTCAGAGTCCATGTGAGTTTGAGGACTTATAGCGCCGGCTTTAACTTACCTCCTTCAAGAACGATCCCCTCAAAACAACCCTTTTAAGATCTGGCTGTGGCTAGAAAACAGGTTACCATCCAAACCCACCAATGAACGGAAACACTTATGCTGTCAGGTTCGTGCCGATTTCCACAATCACCCACTCCTCCAATGTCTCCCGACAACACGGGTTATCGCGAACCGCCGCCTTCATGTAAAACTTCTCCAGGAACGCCAGATGTGCATTCAGCCCCCGCTCTCGGGCATGCTTGGACTCATCTGCCGAGTCCCAGAATGCGGAGAGCTGTTCAAGGCTACACTTGTCCACCACGCCAATGGTGTTTTGATATTTGCTCAGCTTCCTCAGTGTTTTCAACTGTGGAACTGGCCGGGTCATGACTACGGACCCCCTGCGGAGCGGCTGAGCAGCTAATATATGGCGCCCAACGGTGGACATCATCCAAGAGTTGAAGCGAAAAAAGCGAAGATAGATCAATGATCCTTGCAACTGAAGAGGAAATGGCTAACACTCTGCTTGTCAAACATCCTCTTCGGCACCATTCGCCATGTCACCGTTGGTGGCTGTGCCACCATTCCGGAGTCCAAATGGACGAATGGAAGCGATGGCTCTCGTCCCATGGGATGACTCATGCAGTAGCCAGTCAAGCTAACTGTCTACCCGAAATGACTCTCCCTTCGTATGCAGAAGCTCAGGGTCCGAAACCCTTGAGCATGTGTTTGCCTGTTTGGGCTGAGTATTGGTTCAACATGTCCCTCATCGTCACATGGCGGAAAAGAACATTCTCCACTTTGTGGCATCCAACATCACTTTAACAGAACATGTCGCATGACACCAGGACATGTTTACATGTGACCAAGTGCGACTAGAGGTGACTGGACACGAATGGTGAAGGGACATCAAGGATGGAGAAGCGCCGTGCATGACATGTGGGACTTCCACACATTGGTAGCTGGCCAATTCCCAATCTCTGGGTGGATTCTGATGGTGCAGGAATGACTGACCAGCAGGACTCCTCCACAGTCAACTGACCTCACGTGCTACTCACAGCCCTTGGCAGCCCTTGTCTTGATTTCTCAGGTTCTCTGAAACTCAGATGGCTCGACCCTCCGGCAACGATGAACATCGATGAGCCATGGGCACGCCCCGACATCACCGCTCCAAAGGTCACATGCTCCGTACGTCGGACGACTCGTGACCCTCCAAACAGTCCCATTGCTCCATGTATAAAGGGAGTCCACTCCATATGATCCATGAGTGTCTGGGTAAAAAAAACGACCCTGTCCTTGGTGAACCTGGCAATCCCTGTCCTGTGCAAAAACGGCAAGCCTGCCCCGACGCCAAAGCGTCTGGTAAATGTCTTCGGCCGCGCCCAAGATCCTAGGAAGCAAGGTTCCGTTCCCTTTGACATCCAAAAAGGCTGTGCGAGGTCCTTGGAATTGCAATTCTTGGGATGTCAGTGACTGGAACCTTTTCTATACGCACTGTCCACGTTCATAAATATCGGAGTGGTGCAAAATGGTGCAAATGTCCATCTTCAACTTCCAAAAGCAATACTTGTCATTAGGAGAAAATGACGATTCGATGGAATATGTCGAACATCTTAGGTCGATCCTTTTTTGCGCAGGAAAAAAGGGGTTCCAGGACACAGAGCGCGGAGGTCTTTCCGAAAACGGTTTTGTCTGAGCGCCCGAACGCCATTTTTTGGTACGAAAACACCTGTTTTGTGAAGATGTGCTGTTGACAGGGTTGGACACACCCAACCAATCACAGCAACCAAATCCTGCACCCAAACAGCCACCCATTCACTGGGTATAGGTGATGGCTGCCCCATGGTGTGCTTCTTGCATGCGCCTGTTGTGCCGGACATCCACCTTCCGGGCGCCCTTGATGTGTGCACTTTTCACCGGCACTGTCTTGTTTGGTCCCGGTCCTCCGCAGCCGACATACCAGGGGCCCCACCAACCATCCAGAACACGTGGGTTTTCCCTGACCCAAAAACCTCATCTATTTGTATGTGAAAACATGTGAAAACCATTGAACACCTTTATTTGTCGACATGGGAAAACACCGGAAAACATGTTCTCGATGCTTTTAAGACCCAAGGATCTGAAAGGAGGTGACCATCTCCTGGCGTCTCGCGACGAGGGCGGGCTTCGATCGTGGCACGTTCGTTTGAGTTTCATGAGCTATCCTGAGGTATACTCTTGATGTTTGACGAGTTTCTGCAGGGCAATGACGTAAACGTCATAACGGACCATAGGACCTTACGTCGTTGTGACCCGGACCTTCGCTTTTGCGGATTTTTGGTCGGTCACGAGTCCCGGCCCCTTTTAGAGGGTCGCATTGTTCGACACTCCCGGTCGGTCCAGGTACTCCTCCGCTGTCACTAACGACCCTGAGGTCCTGGACCCGGTTTTCAGGACATGTTCCTCTACCAACCGACGTGGTTTTCAGGGTCAGTTCAGGGTCCATGTGATCGTCTTCCAGGGGAGTACTTGACCAATCATTGGATCAGGGAACGTGGTAACGGCGGGACGTGCCGGGACAGCACAGCGAGGTTTCCCGACAGACCCGACATCGGATCGGACATGGGGTTGGGGCCAGTGTTGGCTGCTGTTTCAACTGGGACTGGAGTGTCATCAAAACATATCAAAACCAACATGATGAAGAAAGTGCCTAGTTTATGGACTCTACAATGTCTTTGCCCTGGGAGATTCGATCTATACTATACCATGTTTATATACAATCATTGTAGATCTAACACTGCCATTCATGTGTGAAAAAGTGGTTCCACATCCATTTGCGCTGTTTGATGCTGTTTGGCCATGCCCTCATCCCTCATCCCTCATCCCACATCCCTGCCCCAATTGGTGTCGACCTCGTCATCCGCGCCGGCCAAGAGGGGCTCTTTGAGGGCCAAGTAGTGGAGGATCGCCGCCTCCTGGAGCTCAGCGAGGAGCTGAGCGATATGAGCTCAGTATCCATTCGATATGAGCTCATATGAATTAATATAATATATATATAATATAGTTACTGTATCTATAACATGAGTATCTATGGGGCCGCAGCCATCAAGTCATCAAGTGACTTCGAGTACCTGTTGGGGGTACCAAGGGGTAGCTATGCAAAGGTCCTTGGTCTTATTTGAAAGGGACCAAAGGTCATCGAAAATGGCAGGTCGGGTAGCGACATTTGTAGAAGTCCAGGGCGGCACCAAAGTCTCGATCCTGGTCTGGAGGAGAGTGAAGAGCTGTGATTTTGTGGGGGTCCTTTGGTCAATGCTTCAATTGCAAATCGCAAGCCCCCCAAAGAGATGCTCTGCACCCCCTTGAAAGAGATGTTCTTCTACATCCTCTACACACAACCAGATGAGGTATCAACCCATTCATGAATTGATTTGGAGACTTCATCTTTATGGCCCCCAAATAGGCCACCCCAACCACAGAAATTATTTTCGTTTGTTTCTTCTGTTCCATCTCCGAACGCACCTTCTCCAAGAAACCACAAAAACAAACGCCGGACAAACGCCGCACACAAACACCCCCGCGCCTGGCCGATGGGGCCTTGTCCGGGGACTTCCAAGACCGGCAGCTCTCCTCAGCATGAACCGTTTTGGTGACGCGTAGACCGGTGACGAAGAACATGACGCGTTTTGGTCCCTCACGTGGTGACCCTGACGTCCTGGGCCCCGTGGAAGAAGGTTTTCCTCTGGCCATCGACGTGGTTTTCAGGGTTCATGTGATCGTCTGAAGGAGGCTCCGTTCACCGTGTCACCCTGTCGTACATCGGCCGACCGGGCTCCGGTGGTCGCCGGTGGTCGACTCAGGGCTGTGACCGAGGGGGTGAAACGAATGGCTGTGACCCCACCCCTTGGGGCCATTCCCGGGGGTTTCCCCATGCAAACACGTACCGTATACCATCCAATGTTTCGACCTAAGTGGGTGTCAAAGGCTGCACAGCTGTGTTTGTTAGCAAAAATGAAGTGTAAATGATCAACACATGTTATGAGTTATGAGTTGTAAATGTGCTGTTCTAGAGATCAGATTAACTAACAATGAATTCATGTTGATTTGGAAAAGATTTGAAACAACATGGAACCCCCCCCATGGACCATGGAGAATCATAGGCTCAGACGACCCAAGGTCGAGGGTTCAGACGGCGGTCATCCGACCACTGATGCATCTTCACACGAGGTCATGTCATTGTAGAGCATTCGCACGGTGGGAGGTTCCAAAGAATAATTTGGCCTGGTTGCAGGCCCTCCTTCATCCCATTTCTACATGGTTTGTTCTACCTCTTGAAGGAAAACATTCGGCACCGACCTTCATGGAGGTCCACGTCATTCCCCGTCCCCCAAACAGTGTGGTCACACAGTCACACGGTCAGGGGATCTTATGGTAGGCCTGGTAGGTGTTGCCGGGTGGTTTCAGGCTGGGTCCGGACGCGGGCTGGACGACTCCCATCTAAGATGGCCCGGAGCCAAAAAAAAGAGGCCTTTGCCACCGACTCCCTCCTTCACCACCGCTGCCATGAGTCCCGCCATGAGTCGAACCTTCAAACCTTTCATGACCTCCTGGCTCACCCATCGCCGCTCACCCCAGTGCACAGCCCACCCCCAGTGGCCGCCCAGTGGCCGAAGGGCGTCTGCGGCTTCCTCGGCCGTCGTGCGTCGACCGTCGTGCGGTGGTCGACGGGGGTTCAGCATCGACTCGACCCGACGGACGAGACGTCAGTCTCCGCTGGAGACGTCGACGTCGGAGACGTGGGCGGTCGTGGTGACGTCGACGTGTGGTTGGAGGGTGCTGGTAGATGTTGCTGGTGTATGACACTTTATAAGGTGATCTTGAAACCTCGCACTGTTGAACTGAAGGTTTGAAGGTATGACTGGTAGGACAGGGATCCTGAGAGCAACCACCGGTCACCAAGCGCCGGGGCCTCAAAGACCTATAAACATGGGGATGGTATGTTGATGTATGTTTAACATACCATGCATATCCACGTATTTCCATCTTCATACTGACCATGTGGAGTTCAAGATATGTTCAACCCGATTTTGAGTTGCTCGTCATGCCCCTTTTACAAGAAACCTGACAAGGTTTGGGGTTTATAAAAGTTCTAAGTTAAACTAAAACGATGCAATGTCTTCCCGTCACTGAACAATGGGTCTAACTACTGTAGAATTCAATGATTGAATTAATCATCCATGCAGTATAATCTTCAATTGACGATTCTTCTGTCATCAACAACTCATGTATAATATCATACATTTCATTATATATGCATATCATCTCATATCTATTCGACAGGTAGTGGACCTCATTTTCCCTTTGGGGAGTCCATGAGGCGGCTCCTGGTCGAAGCATTGTAAAAAGCTTCTCAGTCGCCAAGAGCACCCGTCCCAACAACCATCAACAACCCAAGCAACCTGACAGCCAGGTGCTGGGAGCAAACAACAAGAAGAAAAACAAAGAAATTTAACAAAAAAAAACTAGTAATAATAATAACAAGAAAAACAACATGCCTGGTTTATGCGGATCAGGGGATTTGTTCTTTTCCCGAACTTGGTAAAGCCCGAAACTTTTTCTAAAATGTAGTATAGGCTTCCTAAATAAGCAAACAAACAAAATGGTCGTTTCGGAGGGCACTTTTGGAGATGCTCTAAATGGGACCCCAAACACATCTGTCCCCCCAACAAGAAGAACGACAGCCAAAGCCCAAGCACTCGTCGAGGGACCCCCAGGGAGCGCAATAAACCAAAAACAACCGAAGAAAGTCTAAACCTAAAGAAGAGTCCTCAATAAATCCTCAAGAAGTCCTAAAACTTTCAAGTCCTAAAGTAAAGAAGCTCTGCTCACATTGCTATCCTCCTAAAACCATAGCAACACCATAGCACTCTCCTCGCGCGTCGCCCCAAGCCAAATAGCCCTTCGTTTGGACACCGGAGAAGGGTAGACCGGTCGCCCTTCGTTTGGACCCGCCGTGGCTGATCGGCTCCTCTCAGGACCCAAATCGCTTCCACCAAATTGACGACCAAATTGCATGTCGCCATGTAACATCGAGTGAGCTTGGACCATCATGCTTCACCACGATTTTGGGCCGTCGAACATCACCCCGCACCCAAATAGGAACAAGAAGCTACTAGGAACAAGGGCACTTCTACGTTCTTTCACGTTCGGACGGAACGGGGGCGCTCCTGGTCTTACGTTAGGACGCTCCGGTTCGCTACCGACCAGACCAAGTCCGAGCGGGGCCAAGCATCATGTCCTTCCAGGCACTGGGAAATTCGCCTTCCCAGTCCAAGTTCCTCACAACGTCGCAACTCGAGTTGCATTTCGTTTGCTTTTCCGCTCGGCCGTCTCGAGTTGTGTCTCATGGTGTCTCCATACCGTGAAAGGAACACAACAAATAAGATGATGCATGTGGAATCCGCGCTGGTTGACACTCGAAGTTCTTTGATGACCATCTGAGATCAGTGAGTGTTATTGTTGATGGCTGAAAGGAGTGAAGAAAGAGAGAGAGACAGAGAAAGAATTATATAGAGAGGGGAAACAACGCTTGAGAACTTGCTTTCACCTTTTAATGTTCATACAGTTCATAATATACAACATACAACTCTTTCACAATGAGAATAGCCTCGCTTCCTCGGCGCCCTTGAACCCTTCGAAATGGCTCCAAGGGGCTCAAGATCCATCAACAACACATGCGACGTGTTGCAGGAAGACGTGTTGCTGGATGTATTTTCATGCGAAAGAAACACTCGTATTCCGCACAGGCTTCCAAATAGACTGGGACCCCCTGAACACTCCCCCTCCGTTGCCGGTGCACCCCGTGAGAACCACACGGTTCGTCGGTTCGGTCCGTGGGGCCCATGGTGGAGCGCCAGAGCGATCGCAGGGCCCTTGGCAAAGACATTGAAGTAGTGAAGCTTCACCTTTCACGGTTTGTCCTCGTGTTTTAACACCAACCACTGGACTAGACTTGGTTCAACCAATTTCAACCATGAAAGAACACTGGACCTGTCAGGATTGACGATTGGACGTGTTATGACGTGTTTGGGGGGTCAACCCTGTTGCGACCCCCCCCCCACACAGGGTCCAACCATGGCAGGTCCGACAGACCCAAAGGTCTGTCGAAACATATGGGGCCGAAGGATGCGATGCATCAAGTGGAATTAGGCAACATGGTAATCCGTCGGAATCCAGTTAACGGGTTTAATGCTCCTTTTTCGCTGGAAAGTATAAGTTCACCAAACTTTCCACCTGGATAAGAGAGCAAAACACTCCTCAATCTCCGAATTGGCCACTGAACGGATCTGAACGGTATTCCTGGCTATTGAATTCAATCAGGATGGTTCTCAAATGGATCACCACCTGAACATCCGGTTTTTGTTCTTCTGTTATTTTTCTTATGTTTGTCCTGAACACTAGCTAATAGACCAGTATATTTGGTCTCTTTGTTAGGGCAAAAGGCGGCTACCTTTTGGGGTACGGCTGCACTACGTCACTACGATTCACTACGTCGCTACGTCACAAACGACGTCACACATCGAGATCATCTACCTTGTTCAGACCCCATCCTGATTGGGCCTAAGACATCTTACAAATCATCCCAACACTTGCTGGCTGAAACACTTGCTACTCCCCAAGGAGTTGAGAAACTCCCCACGAGCTCCAACGCAGCTTGTACCAAATGAAACAACCAATATCCAATATTATATGTATATAATATATACACAAGAATGCCCACTCTCTTCCGTCAACCAGATATTAAGCACTGCCAAGGAGAAGCTCGTGCAAGCGCATTGATCATTGTACTTAAGATACTACAAACATCTATAAATAATGAACATACATATAAGTTAAGTATATATATATAGCGTTAAATCACGTGAAATCTGCTGCTACATCTCAACTTCTTACCATCGCTGAAGAACTGGCTCGGTGCTCTCCGTGCTCTGCGACCGCCTTCCCCAGGTCCTTGGAGGTCTGCGACCGGGTCATGCCCGAGAAACAGCTGAAGCAGCTCGACATGGCGACAGGAAAAACCGGCGGAAACCGCCGCTGCGACCAAGGCAAAGGAAATTTCACAGCTGTTTCTTGCCGACGAAAGAAAAGAAGCTCAGTGCGTAGTGGAGTGACAAAGGGAAGTGTGTGAAGTGATTCAGGTACACAAGTGCAAGTGCAAGATGATGCCATCTATGTCCTTTCTTTCCGTTGAGCCGATGATGGTAGATGGGATGGTCACTGTTCTCTTGTTTTTGGAGGTTGAGGTTGAGTGGTGTCTGGAGTTGTTGGAACATCTGAATCCTTGTGCATGTCAACATAGTTCTGCATGCAGTGTGGCCTCCCAAGTCTGGCGAAGCGTAAATGCGCTGCGAAGCCGTAAACTAACTGCACGTGTAAACAATATATAGAAAGGGATGTCCAAACGTCTTGTCTTCCATTTGAGAGACCATTTATCAAACACTCCATTTATATATATATTATGTAAGTATATATATTTCTGAGTTTTTTACGTTACATTGGGGTCCTACATGGGGAACATTTATTAACTATTCCATAGATGGATGGTCTGGGATTCATCAGTGTCCACCTGGAGAAACACGCCCCGTGGACGCGGAAGACCTGCCCAAGATGGGCAGGTCACCTCTCAATGGCCTAACGAAGATGGACATAAGCAACATCCCATACCAGGACCTTCAACAGGTGGTATTGAGAACCCCCTTAACCTTTAAGAACCTGTTTATAGAGACCCCTTGAGGGTCCTGGTATACTTAGGTATATATGTTGGAGTCACATAGAACTGGCTTCTGGTTGACGTGTCAACTATTATATAGTCTATATAGCAGAATGATATCATGCCACTGTGCTGTAGCAAGGTGAACCCCTGAAGAGTTTGGTAGAGTGTACCTTACCCTAATTACCCGTTTCGAGGGGTTTTCATGCTCGAATAAAAGAACACCCATTGAGACTGCTTCTGTCTTTGTGATTTTCAGTGACGGAACATCTGTGCCGCGTGAAACGCCCCTTTTCGCCGGCCACATCGCCGCAATCGAGTCGAGTCGCGTGCTGCGACCGGACCAACCGGACCGTTCGTCGGCTTCTTTGGCCCCGACCTGCCAGCGACTGCGCGGGGCGCAGCTGCGAAACTTCGTCGTAGACACCCTCCATAGTGCAGTATGGTGTACATTTGGGTGGTCTAGGTTGGTTGTAATTGGACAAAACATGACAAAACACCACAGCTGGTGGGATATTATCTGGCTGAATTATATTTCATAGGTCGTTGGGTCGTAATTCGCTATTTCAAAATTGAAATACGGATTAGGTCGTTGAAATACCAAAATATTGGGTGAGGTCGGGGTTGGTGCGCGCGATGTGGCGCGGCGGGGCTGAACAGCGGCGGCAGCTGGCAGCCTGGCAAGACCAAGAAACAAACAAAGTGAAGTGCAAATCGCTGGACTTCTGCTTCTTCTCTTCTTCTCTTCTTCTTCTTCTTCTTTTTGCTTCTTTTGCTGCTTCCTTCAAAGTAAAAACACCTTCAGAGCGATTTAGTTTTCTTTGATCGAAGCAAAGAGATCCAGGTTGATTGGGGAAACAAAAGCTCCAAATTTGATCGCAGTTTGGAGCTTTTTCAGTGGTGGTAGCAAGTTCGATCGAAATTTGACTGTGTGAAACTTCGTTGCTGTGCAGTCTGTCTTCGTTGCTGTGCATTTCTAAACCCGATCACCGAAGGAGTGGCCACAAATCCCGAGCGAAAGTCCTATATGCTGTTCCTGTCCCTGATGTGGACGGGCGTGTCTCTCACAGAAGAAGCCCTATCTGCTGCAGATAGGCGTGTTCCTCGCCTACTGGAGTGGATGGGTTGCTCTTTCATCAAA